CTACCCATGGGTATTAAATTGCATGCAGCCCTGTGAACGTGGCCAGCATGTCCTGGGTTTGAACCTCAGCAAGGCAACCTGGTAGCTCTATGTCCTTGAGCAAATTTCTCTCCATTTCTTCATCAGTAAAATAAGAATAACTATAAAATTACTCACTGCACTTTGGGTAAAAGAAAAAAAAATTTCAGTCCACACTTTTGCACTCCTTCATCAAAAGTTAAAAAAATATATGAGTAGGAATCAACTCAACAGCAATGAGTTTGGTTTTTTTTTAGGAGGGTGGGGGTACTTAGTTAACATCAGCTGTCCAGACTCTAGGTGATGCAAACAGTTTGCGCTCAACTACGAGCCTAAATGTTGCCAATGACCATCTGTTAGAGATCTGCTTCCATTAAGATTACAGCCAAGAAAACCCTATGGAGCAGTTCTGTTCTGTAACACACGGGGTCACCATGAGTCGGAATCAACTCTATGGCAGCAGGTTTTGGTTTTCTGGTCCAGAACCAGGAATGCTGTTTAAAGTTCCTGAGGAATACCATGCACCCATTGGTGACACCCTCCCTGGATTTATACCTCCCAGGGGCTTACACTGCTCAGAGAGGGTGCTGAAGGAGGGGAGCTGCCCTTTGATTTTGAGGGTGGGGGCTAGGGGCACCAAGTGCTTCTCTGAGACACCCCCACCCTGCCGCTCTTGTTCCCCTCCTCGGTGTCCCCTCCCCTCCACCCCATGGAAGCATCTCTGGGGGTAGGAGATGGGGATAGGTCCTAAATCTGGGATGAGGCTCAACCACAGGGAAAGGGTAATGTTTTAGTCATCTAGTGCTGCTCTAACAGAAATACAGCAAGTGGATGGCTTTAACAAAGAGAAATTTATTCATTCCCAGTCTAGTAGGTTACAAGTCCAAATTCAGGGCATCAGCTCCAGGGAAAGGCTTTCTCTGTTGGCTCTGGAGGAAGGTCCACATCAGTCTTCCCTTGGTCTAGGAGCTTCTCTGCACAGGAACCTCAGGTCCAAAGGGCGTGCTGTGCTCCCGGTGCTGTTTTCTTGGTGATATGAGGTCCCCAGTTCTCTGCTTGCTTCCCTTTCCTTTTATCTCTTGTAAGATAAAAGGTGGTGCAGGCCATGCCCCAGGGAAACTCCCTTTACATTGGATAAGGGATGTGACCTTAGTAAGGGTGTTACAATCCCACCTTAATCCTCTTTAACGAAAAATTACAATCACAAAATGGAGGACAACCATACAATACTGGGAATCACGGCCCAGCCAAATTGATACACACTTTCGGGGGAACATAATTCAATCTATGACAGATAATGAGGAAAACACCTTGATTTTCCACCGAGATGAAATTTTCCCTTAATTGGCAGAAATTGGGGGTTATCTGTAAACTCAGCAGGGATGCAGCTGTTTGTACCTGGGGTGGGGCGGGGCTAGTGGTCTGCAACCCCACAGACCCTACCCACGGCTTGGGGCCCTAATTCCTAATGTTAAGGTTGGAAGAAGGAAGGTGTGTTAGAGCTTTCACCCCAACTTGGAATTTTTGGAGGCACCAAGTTAGGGAGGGGCAGTACTTGTGCACCCTCCCCCCCGATTCATATGACACTCAAGAAACACACCTACAGATTTCCAAACATCCTTTGTGGCAGTACAGCCTCCACTGAGGACCACTGGTTTAGACAATGTGGCCTTCAACCTGATCTCCCACCACCCCACCAAGCCCTAGAGGGGGCCGGGTATGAGGGAAGCAGGTTGGAGAAAGGAAAGAAGAATCTCTGGGCCTGTGTCCCGTCACTGCCCTCCAGCTACTGACCACCTGGGACACCCCTGTAGTCGAACAAAGTTAGGTTTACAGCAGCGAGGACACCACACACCATGGGGGTGTCTTAGTAAGAGGGTGTTAGGATTTATTATAGGATTAGAGAGGTGGTAGGTGATTTTGGGGGACGTTCAAGGGAATGGAGTTTCACTTTGGATTGGATGTTTTTGGGAAGGGAGAGTACATTCTAGGGTTAAGTATGCTAAGTCTCATCTAGAAGGTGCGGGATGGGGGGAAAGCTGGAATTGGTGAGGAGTAGCAGTTCCTCCTCTTGGCCAGCAGAAGGCGCTGTGTGGTCACGTCTGTGTCCATGTTTTCTCTGTGTACGGGTAGGGTAATGGCTTCTTTGTGTCTTGACTCATCTTGGTCACATTGTCAGGGTTCTGTGGAATCGTGTATGCTCAACAGGAGAACATCGTGGCCTGGCTGTGAACGCCATCAGGGGCAGCATCACCACCACCCACCCGCTTGCTGACCATCCCGATTCCCCTGAGCCAAGAAGTCTCAGATGAGGCTCCTGTGCTGGGGATGGAGTTGGTGTCAGCACTGGAGTCTGACTGTGGGTGGTCTTTCCAAGCTCCTGGAAACAGGGTTTCTCAAGATGGGGCCTGTGAACAGCCAACAAAGGTGGGGAGGAGACCGATGCCCCCATGGGGGTACCCAGAGATGCCCTGAATCTGACCAAGAAACCAGCAGGCAATGTCCGCAGCATCTGGGAGGGCTCACCAGGGCCGCCTAGCCCCACCTGAAAGAGAGAGGTATCCTGGAGCCTTAGAACCTGGTGCTCCTCCAGGGGACTTGTCCCTGCACCCACACACCCTGCTCTTACCAGGATGTTAAACCCTCCTTGCAGGCCCCCTGGTGGGCTGTAGAGCATGCAAACCCAGCGGCTGTTTGGGCCACCCCAGAACACTCCCTCGGAGCCCTGTGGCCCAGTGGGTGGCAGTGTGTCTGGCTGTTACATGTGAACTCTTGTTTCTCTCCCCAAAGCACACAGGACAAAGAGACAGACCACGTGAAACGGAGCCTCCTTTTGGGTGCCCTGAATGGGTGTAGGGTGCTACCATTGCCCTCTTCTCTTCCTCCGAGGCAACAACGACCCTGTATTGCCTGCCGCATGTGTTCCCCTGGAGGCCATGGGTCAGCATGCAGGAACCCACCCAGCAGAATACGAACGCAGGCGTTGAGACCAGCAGGGGATGAGCTGGCCAGGTATAGACTCAGGGTGGGTAGGGGTGGGGCCTCCAAGAAGAGGTGGAATTTGGGAATGCTGGAGACGGAGGGACACAGAGGGACAGGAAGGGCGCATCTAGAATGTTCTCTGGCAGTGTGGGAGTTGGAGGAGCCCACCTTGGACCAGCAGCTGGAGAGCAGCCTGACGCTGAGGCCGGGGGGCTCAGATCCCTGCATGGAGGGCCAGGCCTGGCCCCAGAGGCAGGGCACAGTGTGGGGGGACAGAGGGGTAGAGGCAGAACTGGGAAGATGTCTGGGCCAGAGCTGCTCTGGGTAACAAAGACCTAAGTGAAGGACCATGCTTCGCTTGGTCTAAGGTATCACTGCAAAGACTCAGTCTGTGGCCTCGGAGGTGACCCTGCTGAGCTTTAGAAGGGACACACAGAGCTTTGGAGTTAGAGACCAAGAAGTCCGGATATTGTCCTCTCTCAGCAGGGAGATTTTGGGCCAGTTACTGACAGACTTTTTCCTGTAAGACAAGGGTAAAGAGAGCTCACTTCCTGGATGGTGAAGCCCCCTGCAAATGGTTAATGTGCTTGGCTGCTAACTTTAAGGTTGACGGTTGGAGTCCACTCATAGGCACCTCGGGAGAAAGACGTGGTGATCTACTTCTGAACAGTCAGCCCTTGAAAACCCTATGGAGCACGGTTGTACTCTGACACACGTGGGGTTGCCAGTTGTAGGAGTCGGCTGGATGACAACTGGGACTGGGACTGTTCCAGGAATGCTGTCAGGCCTGGCTCCCGGTACACTCAAAAAAGGTGACTACTGTTTAGAAGGAAGCCTTTTCCAGTGGGGAGAAAGGACTCAGGTCCCCTAGAAGCTGCATGATTCCAGGTGCTCTGGGACGTGACAGGAGCTGGGTGGTATTGTGGGTGAATTGTGGGTCTGTGTCTGGCGTGAAGAAGTCCCCATGAGCGAATGCAGCACATGGAACTCAGCCTGGGCAGGCGTGGAAAACAATCGATGCCTGTTCAGCTTCCCACACTCAAACCTTCCTGTTGTTCCAGAAAGCGCTGAAGGCAGAGTGAGGAGGGGGCGGGGAAGGAAGCAATATGGGGACTCGAAGGTTGCCAAGGCTTGTGGAGACATGAAACTGGATCCTCCATGACCCTAAAAACCAGTTACTATCAAGTCGACTCTGAGTCGTGACGACCCCGTGTGTGTCAGAGCAGAACTGTGCTCCACAGGGTTTTCAATGGCTGATTTTTGGGAAGTAGATCCCCAGACCCTTCTGCTGAGGTGCCTCTGGGTGGACTCAAACCTCCAACCTTCCAGCCAGCAGCCAAGCGCATTAACTGCTGCGCCACCCAGAGACTCCTCCATGGCACTGGTCCATTTATCCACGTAGCTGCATCCGTTTGCACAAGAGAAGAGAAGGGGGCCACCCAAAGTGTCACAGCCGCTCAACCTGACCTGCAAAGAAATACCAAAAAAGTACCAGTGCATGAGAAGGCCTTTATTGGCTGAGTCTCTTCACCAAGGAAGACGTTCATAATCTTTTTCTTTTAATTGCATTTGAAACGTCTTTTCTCAACTTAATATGAGAACGTGACCACCAAGAATGCTCGCTTGCCTTTCTTATGCCGGCACTAGGCTTGAGCGGTGTGATATCCTCACGGTAACGCAGCTACTTGGGGATTATTTTCCAAGTCATGAGGTCCCGGGACCTGGGGTGGACCCTGTCCTCGGAGAAGCCGACCACCTGCCCACCTTGCCCCAGCCAGGAATGCTGGGAAAGGAGAGAGAGCAGCTTTGCAGAAAAAACACAACAGCATTGAGTCTGAGAAATGGAGGACGTTCCTCGTGCTGAACAGAGGATCTTTATTCTTTAAACCATCGCCCCACGCGGATGGTGAAACGGTCAGCGGAAGAGCTTGGCAGGAGCGGGTTAAGCGGCCACGACACCCTGCCGGGAATTGGGGGCAGGGCACCCGCAGGGTGAATGTTCACATCCGGGTGAGCATGGAGCGTGGGGGCACCGCTTCAAAATGTGCATTCTGGAAGCAAACAAAGGGTCACTGTGAGCAGACTCGTCTCCACCTGCTAGTTGCTGACTTTTCAAGGTCAAGACAGGTTCAAGGTTAGCGTCCCACATTGGGGAAACATTGCTTCCCCTGCCGAGGGGCCGAGGAGCCACACTGCCCCCCTCATACATTGAGCAAGACAGCCGGGCCTCACGTGGCTGGACAGAACATAAATGAGTTGGACCTCGCTAGGGCCCCAGCCAGTGCTCAAGGAAGCTGTGTCCCAGAACGAGGAGCCCAAGGGATGTCTGGGACAGCCAGCAAAGAGACAGCAGGCCCACTCTCTCCTTGTCCCAAAGCCCCATCTGGAACTTCTCCCTCCATTTGCTGGGAAGGGAGAAGAGGCCCTGGGGCAGGGACGGGGCCTTCGTCACCAGTGCAGGGGGCAGCAGGACCTGCTCTGATCCTGAGACATGTGAGCATGAGGTATATCCTAGAAGGCAAGCTGGCACTGAGGCATGCCAGCTGGCGTATAGCTGGCCCCAAGACCCAGATGAGGTGGGTGGGGCCCGTTGACGCTTGGGCTGCAAACCACCCATGCTTGGCCATCTGTTGCTGGCACAGGAACACGCCTGCCCAGGGAGGGATCCCCAGCGTGATTGCCCTGCATCCCGCTGAGGGATGGAGCAGGGGAGAGGGAGAAAGGAAGGGACGGAGTGGGGTGCAGGGTAGGGGAGGGTGTTGGAGAGGTGTGGAGTGGCCCCGGGGATAAGGCCATGAGAGGTACCTGTGGGCAGCCTGGCCAGAGCACACTGAGGCTCCACGCCTGGGGTTCTTGGTGGGCTAGACCAGAACCAGCGACATAGTGTAGGGGCCCAGTACCAAATGGTGAGCAAATTGCTAAGAATTTCAAGATGGCAGCAGCAGAGCTTTGGACCAAGCACGGGCCTTTCTGAGCAAGGGGCCCTCTACCACCACACCACACCTGGGAACCTGGTCCTGGACGGATGCGTGCTGGGGGAGCATGGCGCAGGCAGAGACACTGCCCCCCAGTGTCGACCTGTCACCCCACCGTATGGCCCGACCCTTGGGGGTGGGGGGAGCTCCTGCGCAGCGCTGCCTCTGTCCACTAATGACGTGAGCATGTCACAGACGCTAAGGGGCTCTGGGTTAGTTTCTTTGCCTGAAATAGCCTCAGAAGCCAGCCCAGCTTTCCAAGTCTACATAGTTCCTGTTTCTCTCTAGAATCGTTTTTAAAGACGTCCATCAACTGAAGGCCTTAACTTTGAGCACTGGTTTAAAATGATTACTTCTGCACGTTGCACAAACCCCTTGGTAAGGTGAGAGAAGGGGACAGTCGCTGGCCACCAGCTGCCCTGGGCATGAAGCCTTTGAAATGAGCCTCCTCCGGTGGACGGCGACAGTGCACAGCTTCCCAGATACCTAGCGTCTCCACCTCAGGCCCTAGAAAGGAAGTGGCTGCCCTTGGGCATGGCGCCGCATGGGGCTACCCGAGGCCACCAGGCAGCTGTGCTTGGGGCTCACCTGTTTCCTGGAGAGGCTTGAAGCACCAGGGCACCCCGGGGATGCTGGAGTCGAAGCAGCACCCTCTGTTGTTGCACTGCTGTTCGGTGACCTGGGGGTAGCCGCAGTCCACCCTGTCCTTGGCCGACACGGCACACTGGTTCCTCGCTATCCCAGACAAAGCCCAGTCAGTGTCCAGAGCACGTACAGGTTAAACTTGCTTTGTTCCTTTGCTTTTGCAACTTTCCACTTTCTACCATCTCTCTCCCACCACACACCCGTCCTGAGTTCAAATGATGCTGATCCTTCTGCCCCTCAGTATTGTCTTTCTGTGTAAAGAAACCAAACCCATCGTCGTCAAGTCCGTTCCGACTCATGGTGACCCCTTGTGTGACAGAGTAGGACTGTGCTCCACAGGGTTTCCTTGGCTTTAATCTTTACAGAAGTAGTTCATCATGCCTTTCTTCCACAGCACCGCTGGGTGGATTCGAACTACCAATCTTTCGGTAGTAGCCGAGCACAAACCATTTGCGCCCCCCAGGGACCACGTAAATAGTTAAAGAGAACTGTCTGTAAATGTTAAGCTCAGCAGCCTCAGTGACCCAGGAAGTCTGGCAAGTTGCCCGGTGTCTCTCTCACTCGACATGTTCCGTATCACTTCGTCAGGAAGTCAGATTTGGCCTGGGTACCTTCCAACTGGGAGGGGCCTGTGGAAACCTGGGGTCCCCTGAACCCGGAAACAAAATTCCCTTCCACTGTTTTACCAGACAAAACTTGCCTAACTTTTTTATGACAAATATTGTTACACTCACTAGAGAACATCATCATGTATGTTGAGGATGTTGAACTTCTTCTCTCCATCCCTCCATCCCCAAGTTATTCAGCTTCCCACAGCTTCTCTGGACAACGTTCAGTCTCCAATATTCCTTTTTCAAGTAAGCCTAATACACCTATGTGTTCAGCGAAGTTCACTTCATCTCATTAACAGACTGGGTTTTCCTTTAGGAAAACAACCACACGGAATCTCTCGAATCTCCTATTACTGCCAGTTCATCATCCCTTCTGCCAGCAGTGCCCACACTGCGTTGCACATTGGACCCCTTGTGGATCATTAACGCTACCCCTGTCTGGCTCCCACCAAAACATTCTGGTGTTAACAGTCTGGTGTGGCTTTAGCACTGGGGCTTTTCAAAGTTCCCGGGTGATTCTCAAGTTAGGACCCGCTGCCTGCATCCTGCTCTGTTGATAACTGGATAAAGCCACACCCCAATCTCACCAAGCTTAGGTAAGCGAACAGTCACATCTCCCACCTGGAGTTAAATGCAAGCGCTCAATGAAACTGTGTTCTTTCTTCTTGTGTATGCATTGAAAATGTTCTGCAAAAAATCATTTTCACTTTCTTCCTTCTTTTTTTTTTTTTTTTTCTGTAAATGTGTCCAAAGGATGCACTGCAGAAACCTCTGGCAAAAAAGTCCTCGGAATAGTGAGGAGGGAGGGGTCACTGGGGGCTGGCTGCAACACTGACTGGGAGGGTCGCCTTAGGTAAGTTTTGAATCTTCCCTGAGCCTTAGTTTCCTCGTCTGTAAAACGGGACAGTAAGACCCTCTTTGCAAGGGTATTGTAGGAAAACGCGTGCATCTAACAGATGGTCATCATTAAATGAGCATGGAAACTTGGCCATTTTTCTGGCTCTCAAGCTGTGGAAAGCCCCAGATCCTGGAATTTCTCCATGTCCTTCTCCCTTACCATGCATCCCCCCTGCCCACTGGTGACCCTCCTTCCAGAGATGGTACTTACACAGGCCAACATACTGCCCGGCTGATCTGGAAAACCCCAAGGCCAGGAACAAGGCTAGCAGCCAGAGCGCTCGGGCCTCCATGGTACTGCGGCTCAGGACCAAGGCTCAGGAGGCTGCACGTGTCTGCACCGAGACGCCTTTATACCCCTGTGTTTGCACAGGCTGCAGGGGTGTTTGCCGGGGAGGGTTCCTCCCGCGGCCTCCAGCTCCACCTGTTTTGCTCTTACGCCGGTTTTAAAGTCCCCAGAAGAATAGAAGGATTGTCTGTCCTAGAGGGAAGAGGGTGATTCCCAGCCCACTGTTCGGGGGGCGAGATTTCACTCTTTGCCGGGTTAGCACCCCTCTCTGGGGATGCAGGGCTGTGTCAACCACCCTCTGGACCAGGAGGAAATGATAAGGGCTCGGCGTGGATCTGGGGAGTTCAGTCTACAGGTACTGAGTCATTCTGTAGTCAACAAGAGTTCCCACGGTCACTTAAGGCCAGATCCGTCTCTGATACTTGAAAAGCCACAACTCCATGTATGCAGACTGGGATGTGGAATTTCATTTCTCTCTCACAACACTTGGGAGGCAGAAATTCCTCTTTTTTTTTTTTTTTTGCTTTTTTCCAGCAAAACTTATTTATGTTATTAACTGTATCTTAATAAATGTATTAAATAAACTTACCAGTTGGCATCGAGTCGACTCCCAACTCATGGCAACCTTGTGTGTGTCAGAGTAGAACTGTGCTCCACGAGGTTTTCAATGGATGATTTTTCTGAAGTAGATCACCAGGTCTTTCTTCTGAGGCACCTCTGGGTGGACCTGAACCACCAATCTTTCAGTTAGCAGCTGAGCATGTTAAGCATTTGCACCACCCAGGGACTCTAAAGAATAAACTTATTACATACATTTTAATTAAAATATAATACATCCATTTGGTCTTTAAAAATCCAACAGTACATAAGACCCCCATCCAGAAGTATCCATTTTTACCACTATCTTAGCTATCCTTCCAGAAGTCTTTTATCTAGATTTGAGTACATTTTGTGAGCCCGGGTGGCACAGTAGTTAAGAGCTCAGCTGTTAATCACAAGGTCAGCAGTTCAAATCCATCATTCACTCATTGGAAACCCTATAGGGCAGTTCTACTCTGTCCTATGGGGTCATTATAGGGTCACTATGAGTTGGAATCGACACAATGACAATGGATTTGGTTTTTTGTTTAGGTATGTTTTTAACACAAATGGAACCTTATAGTACACCTTTTGCCAATTTGTGTGTGTGTGTGTTTAATTGAATATATCTAGATGAGATGGGAATAATTATACCCAGCTTCTGGAGGGAGAAACTAAGGTTCTAAATTGAAGGTACTTGCCAAAGTTTACCTTAGTAGTCCCGTAAGAGTTAGGATTCAACCCACTTCTGTTTTAGCTCCTTCTGCTCACAGTCCTGCACCTCCCATACATTGGTGAGAAGGGGGGGTCTCATTCCCAGGTGTCTTAGTTATAACAGACATACCACAAGTGGATGGCTTTAACAAACAGACGTTTCTTCTCTCACAGTCTAGAAGGCTAGAAGTCAGAATTCAGGGTGCCAGCTCCAGGGGAAGGCTTTTGCTCTCTGTCAGCTCTGGAGAAAGATCCTTGTCATCGATCTTCCCTTGGTCTAGGAGCTTCTCAGCCCAGGAACCCGAGGTCCAAAGGACACACTCTGCTCCTGGCATTGCTTTCTTGATGGTATGAGGTCCCCATGTCTCTCTGCTCACTTCTCTTTTATATTTCAAAAGAGATTGGCTCAAGACACAATCTAGTCTTACAGATTGAGTCCTGCCTCATTAACATAACTGCCAATAATCCCATCTCATTAACATCATAGAGGTAGGATTTACAACACATAGGAACATCACATCAGATGACAAAATGGTGGACAATCACACAATATCGGGAATCATAGCCTAGACAAATTGATACACGTATTTTTGAGGGACACAATCCAATCCATGACACCAGGAAAATATGGAAACCTAGTTATCTTTTGTTCTCTGTGTTTCTCTACAGGCTGGGGAATTTTTATCTATGCACAGTAAAACCTGTGAAAGCTGGCACCTGTGTAAGGTAGAAACCTGCTGGAGGAGGAAAACTCAAATATTTTCCACTAATAGAGATCGAAAAGTGGTAAGACTGCACCCCATCAAAGGTGGAAAACTTCTGAGATCTGGAAAGACAAGGTAGTCCCATCGTGTTCTGCCTCTCACAGGTTCCCCTGTATTCTTTACTCAGGTTACTGAGGGACTTCTCTGGGGCCTCACTTGAAAACCCCCCAGGTGGGTTTTGTACATCATCCCAGGAACACATGCACCTGGCTGCTCCCACCTGGACTTCTGGTACATTGTAGGGGCATGGAGGGAATCTGAGCTACCCTGGGTGGTTCACGGAGCTGTCCTTCACCAAGTAATGGTAGAGAGCCAGGCTGTCAATGCGTTGGAACAGGGATGTGTCCCACCTCATGCAGCCTTCGCTTGTCCTGCCACTCAGTAAGCCCTGGGGTCCCCCGGCTGCCCCGACACTCAGTAAGCTCTGGGGGTCCCACATCTGCCCCTGACATTCAGTAAGCCCTGTGGGACCACGGCTGCCCCTGACACTCAGCAAGCTCTGGGGGAACCCACAGCTGCCCCTGACACTCAGTAAGCCCTGGGGGACCCACGCCCGCCCCTGACAGTAAACCCTCAGGGTCCCACATCTGCCCCTGACACTCAGCAAGCCCTGAGGGACCCACGGCTGCCGCTGACACCCAGTAAGCCTTGGGGGACACACGCCCACCCCTGACACTCAGCCCTCAGGGTCCCACACCTGCCCTTGACACTCAGTAAGCCGTCAGGGACCCACGTCCTCTCCTGGCACTCAGTAAGCCTTCAGGGTCCCACATTTGCCCCTGACACTCTGTAAGCCCTTGGGGACCCACACCTGCCCCTGGCACTCAGTAAACCCTCAGGGTACCATGTCTGCCCCTGACACTCTGTAAGCCCTGGGGGACCCACACCTGCCCCTGGCACTCAGTAAACCCTCAGGGTACCATGTCTGCCCCTGACACTCTGTAAGCCCTGGGGGACCCACACCTGCCCCTGGCACTCAGTAAACCCTCAGGGTACCATGTCTGCCCCTGACACTCTGTAAGCCCTGGGGGACCCACACCTGCCCCTGACACTCAGTAAGCTCTCAGGGACCCACGTCTGCCCCTGACACTCAGTAAGCTCTCAGGGACCCACATCTGCCCCTGACACTCAGTAAGCCCTCAGAGACCCACGCCCTCCCCTGACACTCAGTAAGCCCTCGGGGACCCATGTCTGCTCCTATAACTCAGTAAGCCCTCAGGGTCCCACATCTGCCCCTGACACTCTGTAAGCCCTGGGGGAACCACACCTGCCCCTGACACTCAGGGACCCACATCTGCCCCTGACACGCAGTAAGCCCTCAGGGACCCACCCCGCTCCTGACACTCTGTAAGCCCTCAGGGACCCACACCTGCCCCTGGCACTCTGTAAGCCCTCAGGGACCCACACCGCCCCTGGCACTCTGTAAGCCCTCAGGGACCCATACCTGCCCTTGACACTCTGTAAGCCCTTAGGGATCCACACCTGCCCTCGGCACTCTGTAAGCCCTCAGGGATCCACACCTGCCCTCGGCACTCTGTAAGCCCTCAGGGATCCACACCTGCCCCTGGCACTCTGTAAGCCCTCAGGGACCCACACCTGCCCTTGACACTCTGTAAGCCCTCAGGGATCCACACCTGCCCTTGGAACTCTGTAAGCCCTCAGAGATCCACACCTGCCCCTGGCACTCTCTAAGCCCTCAGGGACCCACACCTGCCCCTGGCACTCTGTAAGCCCTCAGGGACCCACACCTGCCCCTGACACTCTCTAAGTCTCCTGTGAATCACTTTGAGTCAACACTCACCACCTGGTTTACCACTCCTCTTGGGGCAAGCAAAATGGAGAAGAAAGGAAGAATAATTTCTGCACTGTGTTCAGGCATTTTCTTTGTCCCCAGAGGAAGAGAGTGAACCCAGGCTAAGAACTGACACGGTTTTTATGTTGTTAGAAAGATCCTTATAGGGGAGATTCCCTGGGAGCCTTTTCTTACCAGATCCCTGCCATCCCCGCCCTTCAATACACGGAGGCCAGACCATGGGGTGGAACTGGACCTGGTCCCAGGAAAACATCAGTACCAGAAACAGTCTGGCAGACCTCCAGCCCTTGTTGTCGGGGGAGCAGGAGACCAGTCATTTTCTGCTGCCAAGCAAAGGATGTCTCCACAAGCAGTGTCTCCCTGCCCCCACTGCTTAGAGTCACCTGGAGGGCTGAAACACCTGGTTCTGAGGCCAAGTAGCTCGGAGTACCCTAAGGGGGCCCAGCCCATGGCCCACCCAGCCCAAGGGCCACTGCACCAGTGAGTGCTTCTGTGTAACTCGGGAAATGTTGACTGAGCACCTGCTTTGCAATGCCCGGAGCTTGGGGCTGGGGAAGGAGTAACAGAGGTGACACACTCCCGTCCTCGAAGAGTCCACAGCAAGGGAGACAGTGTCATGTTGTAGTCGAGATCATGAAACCAAGACACCTGGTTCCAAGTCCTGGACTGCATGACCTTGGGCAAGTCACATCATCACCTGCTTGTGCCTCAGTTTCCTCACCTGTTGACTAGTCCCTACCCCCAGGACTGAGGTGAGATCTCTGGAGCCAGGGTGCGCTGGGGACACACACTGGCCACTTGCCAGGACAAGGATGACAGCGGAGACAGAGACAGCATCACTGACACATGACACAGGGCTCTAGCAGGTTAAAGCACAGTGGGCATGGGGAGGGCTGAGGTGAACCCCATCAGGTGGAAACGGCACAGGCTTCTTAGAGGAAAGGGGCCTGAGCTGGACCTTTGAAGACTAAAGCAACTGAGTAAGTGTTCATCAGTGCACTCAACTGCCAACCCAAGGGTTGGAGGTTTGAAACACCTCAGAAGAAAGGCCTGGAGATCTATTCCAAAAAGACAGCCATGAAAACTCTATGGAGCACAGTTCTAATCTGACACACATGGGGTCTCCATGAGTTG